TGACAGCCTAACACCCAATCACCACACAAACATTATCAATGGTAATGACTGCCTGGTAGGAGGTACCCTGTATTCTGCTGCTTTGAGTGACAGCTCTGACACCCAATCACCACACAATCAATGGTAATTACTTCCTAGTTGAACAACACTACTTTTATACAGGGCAATTTATCTTTTTTACTTTCTGTAAGGTCGGTTGAGAAGTGATGGGTGGCTTTGTGTGTTCATAATAAATTCTGGATTCCTGATTAGGCCTAACATTCTAGGCACAGAATATCAAATGAACAACATATAATTCCTTTCCAAGCTTCCACCGAATTGGCAGAGATTTTGTTCTCTCAATTAGTCCATTTCTATCACAGCTGATGCACCATGCTGGCTCCTTAATTGAATTTCATTCTGCTTTGTGTTAGTTCCAATGTCTCCCATAATAGAAAGGACTTGGAAAGCGGGAGGCATTTTATTTGAATACATCTTATATTTTTATTGAATGAAACTGATTTCAAAAAGGTAACTCTGGAGAAAGATTGAAATTTGTAACATGAAGTTTTGTTTTAATCCTTGCTTTATGATTTAGCCTCAGATCAACCTATTAAAACAGCTATGAAGCTAAAATATAATTTCTGCACTTTGGTATCCATTCTAACTTTTTCTCTAGTTGAAACGCATCTCCATTATTTTCACTGTTGTAATTGGTGCCATCTGAGCAGAAGGCCAATAACTACATGAGTATTACTATTTATATCACCCCTAAAACCGCTCTTCGTTAGGCAGACATACCTAGTTGCCTGAACTGTTCATAGTAAAGTTAATCTCTAGATCTTTTATCACTTTTATTTCTCTTCCCTGCATTCTTTCTGTGTACATAAAAAAGCAGCCTTGTGCTTCTTTTGATTCAGAGCATATAGGACTATTTTTGCACATCAGCAGCCAAAAGGACTGATTGAATCTCAGCGATGTCTCAGCATGGAAGATATTTCTTCTCTGCAAATTGGTGGATCTCTTCAAGATAGATGAAGTGTATCCACCAAGCCTTAAGGCATAGGTAAAGATAAATAATAAACATACTCCAAGCTTTACAGGAATAGATAGGCTTAGATACTTTGGTAATAAATAAATAAATAGTGTTCCAAATCACAGTGCTCTGATGATGTTGTGTCGGTTATATCTCTGGATTTGTCCACATTAAATTAATCCTAGACATATTTTAAAGCTAAACAAGGAATGCAGCTTATCTACACTAAAGGATAGAAAAATATAAACACCTGGTTTATGTTCTCGATTCTAGGAATTTTGTAAAACTTGAGGACAGGACTGTAGGCCCATCAATGCATTCTGATTTATGAAATGCTAAACTGCACACCAAATATTATTTTGTTGTTGTTTTGGGTCCTATCTCCTTCATATTTGTAAAAGAAATATATAAATCTCGTATAACATTTATCTATATCAAGGGTATGCAGTCTTCAAGTTGAGGGTTGCACTACACCACTGAACAGCCACTGGTTATGTACACTTAATCATTTCTTTACTATTCATCGAATTGTAGATAACAAAAAGGTCATTCAATTATTAATGTGTATAGTCTCTTAGAAAATGGTCTTTAGATGAAAAAGAAAGATTAGCTAGGGTCTCCCAGTAGACCACTGATTTCTCCTAGATCATATAATAAATTGATCTATTAAATTATTACAAAATTATAATTTAATAATGTAATGTAGCATGTAGCATAGAATATTACAATAAATATTATTTTCCATCCAGAATTGCTCAATAGTGAAATGGATAGCATATAAATTTAATAAGTACCCTCTAAGCCAGGGGTGTCAAACTTGATTTCATTGAGGGCTGCATCATGGTTATGTTTGACCTCGGGGGGGACCTGGAGTGGGTGTGGCCAGGGTGGGCTTGGCCAGCTTGACATCATTCGTGTCGGCGGCACCTGTGGAGGCCCAAGTGTTCTGCCAGAGAAAACAGGCTCCCAAGCTCCGTTCTCGGCTGCGATGGCCTCCTGCAACCTTCTGCCAGTGAAAACTGAGCTCACGGCCCTCCTGTGCTCCAGTTTTGCTGACAGAGGCACCATGGGCTGGTGCTTTGCTGTTTCCAGGGTGGCTCCGCGGGCCAGATCTAAGCATCCCCTGGAGTGTCAGTTTGACACCCCTGCTCTAAGCAGAAGAATAGCATTTTTAAAAATGTTTTTAGTTGATAGGAGTTGCAATTAATTGTATCAATTAACAATTAATTTTGGTCAATAGTACTAGAAATGCTGGGCCCCAAACTTAGGAATTTATGAAAAGTTGGTAAAAATTAATACATGTAAATTATGATTCTCCAGCATTTTCCCTATTAATTACTACCTACATCATTATTATTATTATTATTATTATTATTATTATTATTATTATTATTAT